TCTGAGCGTTACACTGTAAATGGAGACACTCTCAGTATTGTAAAAGCTGTTTCAGCTGATCAGGATCAGTACTGGTGTAAAGGACAGCGAGATGGAGAAACAAACTCATCACATCTTAGCTCTGCTGTTTATTTCTATGTAAAAGGTGAGTTTAATATTATTGTCTTCTTAAACTCACTCTAGATTATTTATTATAATTTAGTCCCTTAACCTCTTAAAACCCGAGCTTTAATACTGTATTAATTTTTTATTTATCTATGCTGTTTGGGATTAGTAGGACCTGATAAGTATAATATCTAAGCATCGTCTTTGAACAGGAAGTAGTTTTTGAAAAAAAGATGTCCTCGTATGGGGACATTGGGTTTATCTGAACACAAAACACAATAAAGTGGCCAATGTGTAAAGTTAAAGAACTGTTTATTGCTGCTTTTTTCAACTGTTTTCACCATAACAGAACACATTGCTGTGCTAAAACAATGTAGTGGTGACAATTATGCACTTGTTACTTGTTTAAAATAAAGTCACCAATGTGTAAAAAGTTGAAATGGACCGTTTTTAAATGTTTTCATCAGAACAGAACACATTACTGTGCTAAAACAATTTAGTGGTGACAATTATGCACCCTGTATGGGGACACTGGGTTTACTGTAACACAACGAAATAAAGTCACCAATGTGTAAGAAAGAAAAAAACTGTCCATTTCAACTGTTTTCATCAGAACAGAACACATTGCTGTGCCAAAGCAATTTAGTGTGTATGTGTGTGCACTGCATACCTATTGTGGGAGTGAAATGCTGCAAAGCAGTTGCGTTCCGACTGCAAACACAGAAAGACATCACAGGTCACACACCACACTCGAGATTTCCCTGAGCATCCCTTTTTTCTGCAGCGCATCGGGTTTCTCAGGTTCTCCATCTCTGGCAGATGACACGCAGAGGTTGAGCGAACTGAGATGTGGGGTACTGGAGTGTGACTGCCTTGTCGTGGTGCCTTGTTTAGGTTTGTATGGTCTTTCAGTACATGTTGACAATCAGACCCGAGCTTGCTCCGGTATGTCTGAGCCACTGTCATGCGAAACTCCAGGAACTGCATAATTTACTTTCTTGGTGTACCTATTTTTATGTTGTCTTGCCGGTACAAAAGCCAGCTGTTGGCTAAGGCAAGGTCTGTGAAGTGCATTATCATCCTCATTGTCCACTTCTTGATTCTCACACTTATGCGGTAGTAGCTCATCATTCTGTCTCCCAAGTCAACCCCACCCATCTTGGAGTTGTACTCTCTTACAGTGCTCGGCCGTGTGACAGTCAAATACTGTTTGTCCATCTTGGACCATCGCTTGCAGGTGTCCTCAGGTTCTTTGCCATGAACAGCAGAAACCATCAGACCGGGCTTGTTGTCGAACCACTTTACCACACATGCCTTTCCATCCCCCCTGGTGACTGATGCTGAAGTACCTCTTCCTTGCTGTTTCATGACTTTGTCAGATGGTAGCTTCAGATGTGCTCCGGAGACCCTGTTCTTCATCACTGTACCAGTCAAGTACACCTGCTTTTCCAGCATCTGATCCACAGCATTCATGGTGCTAAACCATCTATCACAGTACACTTTTGTACCATGATTCAGAGTTTGAGCCAAACGTGCAATGACCAGGCTCCCCAAACCCAGTCTCTCTGCATTCTGAACTTGTGCAAGTAGTGGATTTGCACCCTGGTACACCTCAAAGTCCAGTGCAAGGCCATCTGCTGAAGCCAGCACAAAGTTTTTCACTCCGATTGGATTAGGCTTCAGTGGCTACTTTCTAAATGGACAGCTCCACTAAATGGGATCATCTGTTCATCGATTGACACCCATTCTGGTCGAGGCAGAAGCAGGCAGCCTTTTCGAATGCGATCTATGAATGGCCCCACTTTCCAGAATCTGTTCACAGCCCTCATTTCTTCTGAGATGTCATCATCAATCACGATTTTCAGATTCTGCCTGAGGTTGAAATATCTGTCCCGTGTTATTTTGTTCCTGATGGCTGGTATGTATGAGGTATTGGACCAGAACATTCTGATTTGCGGGTAAGGCACGCAAGACATTAAAATTGATGCACCAAAAAAATTGTAGATCTCATCAACTGTAGTGTTCAGAGACCTACCACTCTTTGTTAGGGACATAGCGTTTGTACAGTTGGCAATTAGTTTCATGAGCTCCGTGTCCATGTACTGTTCCACACAGTCCAGTGGCTGCCAATGTTGGCGCTCATGCACACTTTCATCTTCAGCCTCAAAGGGAAGCAAGCCTGGAGCAAATGGAACAGACTTCCAGTGCTGTTGACGTTTTTCTGGGCTAGGTCCACGCTTGCGTTTACGCACGGGTCCATTGGATCTTTGGAGCTCTGCACTCTCATCACTGCTTTGCTGATTTGTTGAACTAGTGGAATCACTCAGCTCCACGCCAGGATCAGCAACATCACAGTCTGACAAATCTCCGACCTCACAGTTGTTTTCTACAAATGATTGAAGTAGTCTTTCAATTCTTGAGGTAGAAATATGTCCTGTAAATGTATCACATAAGGACAAAAATAAAAAATGTAGACTTATTTGTGCCACATGCAAGAACTATACACTTGTAAACTGTTGGTTTCTTCACAAACGCAGTGTCACACACACACACACACGCAAATGCACACACACATACGCACTCACAAACACGCAAACGCACACAGACACACACACACACACACACACACACACACAGAGGGATGGACAAAAGTGGAAACTACATAAGGCTATAAATCTATAGAGCATCGATATATTTAGCAAACACATGCAGCATTTAGCATTTAGAGAAAATCACTAGAAAGATCTAATCTTATATTAGACTAGGTAAGATTAGGGTCAAACACACCAACATACCGGGAATTGCAAGCAAAAACAGCATTATGAGGTAAACACACACGCACACAGATACGTGAAATTTCAACCCATGTATGTACAACACAAAAACACATAGAATAGTCCTGGTGTCCTTATACGAGTACTTACAACATAACAGCGTTTTAGCTTGTGACTTTAGAAAAAACTTGTCAAATATGTATGTCATGTCATACTACAAATGTTCTTAAGTATAAATAAACAAGTCTCAACAAAAACAAAATGATGAGGATATTTATTTTTTTCACTTTGATCTCGAAGGTCTTCGCTGATATTGCTGCCATCTGTCTACATGAATGAGTGTACTTTGGTTTTGCAACCACTAGATGGCACTGACAGCTGTCTTTAATGAGGAAAACAGCTCTAAGTTAAGCAGATTGAAGTATATGGTGCAGGAAGCCTAAAACGTAATGTCCTCATATGAGGACGCAGGGTCATAGGAGGTTAACCGATTCGGCCATTGGGAAGACATGAGGGAAGATGTAGCAGACAATGCCCTCCACTGATCTCTGTCTTGAGCTATCTTGAGGCTGTGGCAAGGGCCTGTCAGTCCACTCCATCAGATTGTCGGTCCAACTCTTCCTTTGACGCGATCACCTTTCACTATACCCTGAAGAATGGTCTTGGAGAGGGTATCGAAGCGCGTCACATGGCCAAACCACTGGAGTTTCCGCCTCTTCACAGTGGCCAGCAGAGGATCATGGGAGCCTACCAGGCTGGTGCATCTGTCCCGGACATAGTCATTGGTTTTTCGCTCTAAATAGGTAATGCCCATGAGCTTTCTGAGGCATTTGAATTCAAAGGCCTGAATCCTTCTCTTATATTCAGCTAGAAGTGTCCATGCCTCACAACTGTATAGCAGGATGGAAACCACAAATGACTTGAACAGGAGGTACTTTGTGCAAAAGTTGATGCTTTTGCTTCTAAAGATCTTTTGGAGCCTTGTCATTACAGCAGTTGCTGTAGCAATTCTGATACGGATTTCTGCTGTGCAAGAGCCATATTTGGATAATGTTGCTCCCAAGTATTTAAATCCTTCTACCTCTCCAAGCTTTTGCCCTCCCATGGTAATGTTAGTGGTGGTGTCTTTAAAGGAACACTCCACTTTAAAAAAAAAAAAATAGGCTCATTTTCCATCTCCCCTAGAGTTAAACAGTTGAGTTTTACCGTTTTCAAATCCATTCAGCAGATCTCCGGGTCTGGCGGTAGCACTTTCAGTGATGATACAATTTACAATGATATTACGCAGCACCTTAAAATAGGCTTATTGGAAGTTACCTGGGGACTGGGGTCATTTTTGAGTAAGATGCTAACGTTCTGAAAAATAGTGGCGTGTTCCTTTAATGCTGTTGACCATGACCTTAGATTTTTCTGTGCTGATTTCGATGGCATATGCACCTGCCCTCTCTACTAGCTTGTTGGTCAGTTCTTGTAGTTCTTGGTTGCTGCCAGCCAAGAGATCTATATCATCAGCAAATCTAAGGTTGCATATTGCTTTGCCATTGATGGAGATGGATGTATTGATGGTCTTGGAGAGTCTCTAGCATTATCTGCTTCAGGAACAGGTTGAAGAGTATAGGTGATAGTACGCATCCTTGTCTCACTCCTACGGTTGTTGGGAAAAAATCCCCAATTTGGTTATTTAGGAGGACAGCGCTACTTGTTCTTTCATACAAGGCCTTCACTATCTCTACTATTCCCTGATCGATCTTAAAATTCCTGAGTACTTGCCATAGACCATCATGCCACACCCTATCAAAGCCTTTATTTAAAGTGCATGAATGATGAACAGCCTTACATGTTATTACATGTTTGATAGTTAATGCATTAATCAACATTTAGGGGTTAACTAAATCAAACCGTTTCTAAAAGAAGGAATAAAAAATATTCTTAAAAAAAGATATATTATCAATGTTTAATTTATTGTTTACCATTATTTACAAATATTTTTGATGCAATTAATAACTAAAAGTTAACCAAATATTTAATTTAATGTAGGTTTTTTTTTTTTTCATAAGGAGGTTTTGAGTTTACAACAGTGATCATTAGACTGTTATGTTGTTTCAATCAATATCTACTCATATGTGTATTAATACAGAGAGACCAAAACCAGTAGTGAAGGTAACTCCAGATCAGCGTGTGTTCAGAGGAGAGACAGTCACTCTCACATGTGACATACAGGGAGGAGGAAACATTCAGTGGACATACAGCTGGTTTAAAGATGGTTCAGTCATCAGACGCGTCACTGAGAGAGTCTACAGCATCACATCTGATCAGTCTGACAGTGGTGAATACAGGTGTAGAGGAGAGAGATCAGACTCACAGAGATCAGACACCAGTGCTGCTGTTACACTGACTGTATCAGGTGAGTGTTCAGAATCACATCTGTTTAATGCTCATTTAAATCAATATTTGTGGCTCAACACTTTTCTTATACTCTTCTGTATCAGCCACAACTTTCATCTGCAGAGGACTGAAACAATTAATTTTTTAAGACCTGTTCACATCAAGAAAATAACAATAAGAAAATATATTTGTATAAGTGTCCACACCAATGAATAATTATGTTCTTTTTAATAAGAGTATATGCTGTAGTTTAATCATCTGCCACTTTAAATGCTTTGCACTTTAAAGCAGGATGGATTCTGATTTGTTGTTTTCTTTTTTTTCACCAGCTCTTCATCATTATTTTTTTATTTTAAAATGTATTTTCATTTTGTATTTTCATAATTTAATTATTAGCTTTTCATCAGCTCACAAACCCCCTGCAAGTTCCCTCATGAACCCCAGTTTGGGAAACTTGTCTCTCCCTTTGAAGAATCAGTCAAGGCACAGAGATGCCAAAATTAAACTTTATTGGTGGAGACAACAAAAAAAAAGTGGACTGGATTATTCAGTGTTTGCTTTATTATTTTTATCTAAAGACCATGTTTAAAGGCCATGTGGCATAAAAGAGCCCTTGGTATCAGTGCGGATGCAAGCTCAGTGGAAATGAGACATACAGTGTTAAATCACAGACTCCTAAAATCACTGCTTCATTCAGGCTATTCTACAAACATATCTGAAATGTCTGATAAAAATTAGGTGACTTACAGTGATGTTAAATGAGTTCATGAAGTCTTCAGATAGTATGTTGAAGTTGATTGAGATTCAGTTGCTCCTCATATGAGGTTGTAGTTGGAGGTCTTCAGCTCTTCTTCAGCAGGAGCTTCATTCTGCTTTCTATGATGAGTCAGAGGTGTTTGTCTGAGGACATGACGGAGCCAGAGCCTCCAGAAAACTAATGACAGGACAAAACAAATGTTATAAAATATGAGTTAAAATAATGAATATAATTATTTTTATTAAAAAAAAAAAAACTGTTTGACTTGTTATATTTTTGTCTTTCTTCACAGATTTATCCAGATCTACACTGACTGTGACACCAGACAGTCCTGTATTCACTGGAGACACAGTCAATCTGACGTGTGTGATTGAGTCTGACAATAACTGGAGATATGAGTGGTATAAAGGCAGCTACAGAGTAATGCCACATAGGTCTGAGCGTTACACTGTAAACAGAGACACTCTCTCTATCAGAGGAGCTACTGAGTCTGATCAGGATCAGTACATGTGCAGAGGACAGAGAGATGAAAGACCAAAATCTTCACACTCAAGCTCTCTTGTTTATCTCACTGTGATGGGTGAGTTAAATATCATTGACCTCCTAAACTCTACTACATGTATGATAATTTATTCAGATGACACACTTTGAATCTACAACCACCTGAAGTTCTCAGAATAACATATTAAACACCATTAAGTTAAAGAGATAAAAAAATAATAAAAAATCTAATGTTGAATCATATTAAACCTGTAGTGAATCAGATGGAGGAGAGACCATCACTCTCCTCTTTAACATCAGTGTCACACAAATACAGGAACTCAGATGATCAGATCATGTTTCTGACTAGTTCACTGAAAGAGCTTTGTCTTCGTTCTTCACAGATTTCCCCACATCTACACTGACTGTGACACCAAACAGTCCTGTATTCACTGGAGAGACAGTCAATCTGAAGTGTGAGATTGAGTCTTACAATAACTGGAAATGGAGAAATGACAAGACATATGGCTGGACATATGACTGGACACCTGACTGGAGATATGAGTTGTATAAAGGCACAGACAGTGTAATGTTACAGACGTCTGAGCATTACACTGTAAACAGAGACACTCTCACTATCAGAGGAGCTACTGAGACTGATCAGGATCAGTACTGGTGTAGAGGACAGAGAGATGAAAGACCAAAATCATCTCTCTCAAGCTCTGCTGTTTCTCTCACTGTGATGGGTGAGTTAAATATCATTGCCCTCATAAACTCTCGTTAATATGATCACATGCCTAGTTGAGAGACTGTAGTTTTGTTCAAAATGCGTATTATACACTCTTAAAAATAAAGGTGCTTCACGATGCCATAGAAGAACCTTTTTGTCTAAATGGTTCCATAAAGAACCTTTAACATCTGAAGAACCTTTCTGTTTCACAAAAGGTTCTTTATGGCGAAAGAAGGTTCTTCAGATTACAAAAAGGTAAGAAAGAGATGGTTCTTTAAAGAACCTTTGACTGAATGGTTCTTTGTGGAACCAAAAATGGTTCTTCTATGGCATCGCTTGAAGAACCTTTTGAAGCACCTTTATTTTTAAGAGTGTACTATCTTGTTAATTGAACATAACTTGGTATATACTGTTTTCTGCCTAATATCTGTTAATAGTATGTGAAACAAGTCACATTATGGAACAATAAATAATTCAAACTTTAGTATCAGTCACATTACCTCATCACATTACAATTTAAATTCAGCACTCTTTTGTTCACATTAGGAAAAGTGCTCATGATAATTTGATTTTTCATCAACATCAATACTCATATGTGTATTAATACAGAGAGACCAAAACCAGGTTTTGGCCCAATGAAGGTATCCAATGGTGGCTGAAGGTTTCCTGCATATTCGGTCTTTTTAGTGGGCAGAGTAATTTAATTTCAATTAAATTCTAATCTGACTTTATTATTACCTCGGATTTAGGTTAGAATGCCAATTATTATTGATCATTGATAGTATAATTTATCTAGACATCTGATTATTCTATTTAACTATTTAATCTTATTGAATCTTATTCATATAACACTATGAGTCTCATGCCAAATGGATATATGGAGTTCATACTCACAAACTCATCAGTCTTGGTCATTAGACAGAGACGGCTGACATATATTCTAGAAGGCCTGTAACTTTGCTCATTCTAGAACATATTACTTAGTCCCCATAGATCTGAACACACTTAATTAAGGTAAAACTATCTAACCAGAGGTCATGACCATAGAACTGTAAGGAGTGAAATTATTTCCTTATGAAATTAATTCCTCATGAAGCCAAAACTCAGGAACTCACACAAAACAGATGCCATGCAATAAACAATAAAACTGTTCTGGAGAAGAGATCTCCCAAGAAAGCAAACAACACCAGCCTGAACAAACGTATCCCCTTGTTCATTTATGACCCCCTTCCTCCCTCTCCCCTCCCTGCCTCTGAATCTCCCCTCTCACTCTTCTCCCCCAAATGCAAGAATATCCATATGCCACATGTGTTATATCGTGTGGATATGTTGTTTATCTTTCATGTTTGGTATCATTCTAAAGGTCACTGTGCGATTGGTAAAATGGTCTCAATTTCACAGTAGTTACTTATATTATGAGGAAACTTTTATAGAATTGTGTTCTGCTGAGGAGGGGGGGTGTCCTCTTTTAGGGGTCTGTAGGAATGTTTATCTATCTCCAGCCAGGTGTGACCCTGGAGCACAAGAACCTAAAAAAACAAAAGGTCTTTTATGTTTTCACAACTGATTTAAAGGTTTCTTTGTTTTTGTTCTGGTAGTACACTCTTAAAAATAAAGGTGCTTCACAATGCCATAGAAGAACCTTTTTGTCTAAATGGTTCCATAAAGAACCTTTAACATCTGAAGAACCTTTCTGTTTCACAAAAGGTTCTTTGTGGCGAAAGAAGGTTCTTCAGATTATAAAAAGGTAAGAAAGAGATGGTTCTTTAAAGAACCTTTGACTGAATGGTTCTTTGTGGAACCAAAAATGGTTCTTCTATGGCATCGCTTGAAGAACCTTTTGAAGCACCTTTATTTTTAAGAGTGTAGTTGCTGAAATGAATACTCTGCAGATTTTGGGTAGTTGGAGTTGACCGGCACACAATTGCATTATCCTTTCTAAATTGGCTTCTAATTGTTTCATTATCTTATTGGCATGATACAATTTTACCTGACAAATAACAAATTGTTATATTTGATTTATTCTGATCGCTTCTGAAATAATTTTCAAGTAGATGATTGTGTAGTCTAACATTTCCGCAAATCTGCATCCAGGGCAGATCATACATAAGTACCAATGAGCGGGGCAGGGGGCTCTCCATTAGGGATCTTCTGATTTCTGTCTGTCACTGGCTTAACAAGTTACAGTTTTCGTTGTTATAGATTATAACACCTTTTGTTATTTGCTAGCAGGGTGCAACACTTAAAGGTATTATAATCCCCCTGTACCCTCTGAGTAAGTTACGGAACTGGCGAGTTTGTGTCCGTGCGTTCACTGTTGACCGAGTGAATTTCTGAGTGATGTTAGGTCCTTAATGAACGAATAATTGAAACTATGGGATTTCCAGAATACTCAAATATCTAAATTAATAAACAATTGATATGTGTGATCAGTTTTTAATTAGAAACATTGCCTAAATTTAGTGATCACTTAAAATTGGAGTCAGATTGAAAACCGAGTTAGACTAAAATTTACACTAAATCCTGAATAATTCAGAGGCGCAAGTAAAAGACTGAATATGCATTAAACCTTCGATCAGGCTGCTGGATTCCGCTTTTTGGGCTGGCGGTTGGATTCTTACAGAACCAAGTTGACCAACTTAACTTCCTCTAATGGTAACTTTATATACTCATACTGTGGTTTTCCACGTATACTTAGTTAGAATAATATTACAATAATCAGAGGTTGAGGCTCACCCCATTTAGATTTTAGAACAACAGTGTTGTTCTAAATGGGAAAAACCTTTACAGTTTCAGTATACATGACTAATGCCAATGTGTTAGTCAGAGCTCTAAAACATCATTTTAGTCCGTTACTAACCTGAGCGTAGATTTGCGGTTTTATGGATTTAACAACATCTACTAGAGTCAATAATCTCAGAGTAAGTCAGAATAAAGTCAAATGTACCAATTTATTATCAGTCAGGTAAATATGTATTATGTCAATTACATAGTCAATTCAGATATATCAAATGAAATTAATACAAGACATCAAATTCTCAAAGATAAATCTAAGAGTAAAAGATGCATACCCAACTTCATAAAAATACATAGTATGGAGTATAGACACAATCCACACTACTGGCTCATCTGGCTACAGAAACACGCTGATCTTCTTGCAACATGTCCTTAAGTACTCAGACCAAGACAAACATCCTCCAAATGCAGACAGGAACTAACAATTGGAATTCGCATTGACTGAGGCCTTGACATGGAGAGTTTACACACATACACATAGACATCAGAGGGGGCTTGAGCACCTGCCCTTTTTCTTCCTCTAGAGAAAGTGCCCTTTTTTTTAACAATTCTGTGTTTTTCTGTCAATATGGGGTGCTGTGTGTACATTAATGAGGAAAAAAAATTAACTTAAATGATTTTAGCAAATGGCTGCAATATAACATAGAGGGAAAAATGTAATTGGGTCTGAATACTTTCCGTACCCACTGTATCTGTTTGAGCACAGCTTTCCTTGTCAAACAAATAAAAAATCTAAATATCAGGTCGGGTCGGAAAATTGAGACTCTGTCGAGTTCCGATGCCTTTCTCTTTCCGCAACTCTGCAGCACAACAATGTAGCGTACATTGATAAGCACATCACTGACAGACAGAGAGCCGCAGAAGTGAAGCCCTCCCTCCCTTTCCAGTTGTGTTTGTCTTGGAGGTGAGTGGTGATGAACAAAAGACTAAGCTATCTGTGCCTCAAATTTAGAGCTAATTATTCAAAAGACAAAAAGGCAAATAAAGTTAATTTGTCTCGCTAACATCCATGACTCATGAGCAACCATGTAATAAGTTATCTAAAGTTTAGCTAAGACAATATATCATGGGCATACAGGCTTACTGGAGAAACAACAGCTGAATACAGTAAAATTAATATCATTATTAATCACGTCGTGGCCGCATCAACACCTCAGGTGTGCATTATTTCTCGAGTAATTCAACGGCCTGGAGTCGGAGTTCCACTTATACTATGGCTGACACACCTCAAGACATTGATCAGATGATATATGTCAAGGCATTCGTCTGGTTTTTGCACTTAAAATGCTATTGTGAGTAGGATTAATTTCTTCGGCATCTCATTCTAAGCCTCTGTTGCTAATTCCAAAATGTCTATATTACCTCTCTGATGAGCCTGTGTGTCTCTCAGAATTCGGTTCGGCAACAGCGTCTCTACTAACAGTGAAACTTTAATATAATTTTCTTCACGAACAGTGCCGTTGTTACCTCACTTGTGAGAAATATAATGTAGCTTTTAAAATAAAATCACCAGAGTAGCGATAATGTTGTGTATGTGCGTCTGTGAGGGAGAGAGAGCAGGCGAGATAGAGTATGTGATTTACCTACATAATAAAGCGTAATTATGTGGCAAAACATGGAAATTGTTACGGGCAAACAAGACATAAGACATGCGGATCCATCCGCAAGCTTTATTTAAGGACATGGTCAACACAGGCGAGGGTCAGATGATGGCAAACAGACATATATTGAGGGCAAGACACAAGAATAGTCCAGTGGACAGGTGTGGGGTCGATCTCTAGCGAACAAAGTCCAAACAGGATAATCCAAAGGGTAATTCCGAAACACAGGCGATGATCCAAGCGAGGGGTAAACAGTATCCAAACAGGGCGAGTCAAAGAGGTAATCCGAAATACACAGGCAATAATCAGAACAGAGAAAACAGACAAGGCAAGACTAAGCTAAGACTAGGACACTTAAAGCAGGTTCCGTAACGTAGCTATCACTGACTAGGGATATGCGCATACAGTACTCAGCAGTGAGAGAGAGGAAGTCCATGGCTTATGTAGGGTGTGTGATTGGTTACAGCTGTGTGCAATCAGTGCAATGGATGATGGGAAATGTAGTCCGTGGTGACATGTAACAATCTGTGTAGTGAGAGAGTCAATATGACGATATGATTTGTGACAGAAATTATCTGTTGTTTTTATCATATTGCTTTACTATATTTATTTGTCTGGCCAGTGTTGTTGTGGATAAACACAGTGTTTATTGTGCTGTTGTAATACCTTTGAAATAACATAAATCATTTGGCAGGATATGGACATGTAATGCGGTCCAGAGCTGCCTGGAACTACATTCGCTGTGCGTTTCCCTGAAAATAATTGCACACCTTAGAACGTTCGTCAGCCAATCAGATTCAAGCATTCAACGGCCCCGTAGTATAATTATAAATAAACCATGACTGCATAACAGCAAAAGTAGGTGGTGATATGAGCACAGGATGCAACATGCCAAAAATGGAAGAAGAAGAAACTGAGCCGAGCCGTACCATGCAGTGGAAAAGCACCAAAAGTGTCTGAGATTCTTTAAATCTTAAATGAGGTTTATACTCAGTGATTTGTCTCACACCTCTGAACTCTGACTCTTCAGGATCTAAATCTGTTCTTGCTCTCTTGCAGGTCTGAAACCAAAGCCTGAATTCACGTCAGATCCTGCAGGAGCTGCACTGACTGGAAACACAGTGACTTTGACCTGTCGCATGGATCTGTCCACTGGATGGGACTTTTACTGGTACAAACACACACTGAACTCTGAGATAAAGACAGAAACAAACTCCTACAGAGTGAAGATTGATTCAGTGTCTGATGGAGGCCAGTACTGGTGTAGAGCTGGAAGAGGGAAACCAGTCTACTACACACAATACAGTGATGCACTGTGGGTAAATGTTACAGGTGAGAGAAAGCATAGTATCTGACACATACATACAGATCAGAGACAATATCTACAGAACATCTAAAACTTTGAATCTAAAATTAATGCAATAATCTGTGTTTGTACAGTGAGTCCTAAAGCTGTGGTGACGGTATGGCCTGATGAACGAGTGTTCAGAGGAGAAACAGTCACTCTCAGATGTGATATAAAGTGGGCCTGTAATGTTACACCAGTCAACAATTATTAGAACATGTTTTGACAATATCTGAAAAAAAATTACCTTTCAATTTTCCCTACTGAATCACATCATAATATTACATTAAAATTACAATTGTAGTGATATCGAAAATCTGAAATGTATTTGTAAGTGGATCTCAAATGACACAAGCTGCATAACTGGGTTTCATCTCTGTCTCAGGTGTCTCTCCTTCAGTGTCTCTGGTGGTCAGTCCCAGCAGAAGTCAACACTTCTCATCTGACTCTCTCTCTCTGAGCTGTGAGGATCAGAGTAACTCTACTGGATGGACAGTGAGAAGATACACAGACAGAAACACAGAAGATTGTTCAAAACTAACAGGATCTACATGTCGAATTGACTCCCTCAACACATCTGACGCTGGAGTTTACTGGTGTCAGTCTGAATCTGGAGAGAAACGTCATCCTCTAAACATCACTGTTCATGGTGAGTTGACCGATATAAAACTAGATCAAATCTAATACATGATCTGTTTTAATACACGTATTGCCTTCCTCATCTTAATAGATGTGTTTATCTGTACAATATGTGTCACCATCATCTTCCTCTTGTGGTGTGTAGATGGTGATGTGATTCTGCTGAGTTCTGTTGATCCTGTGATTGAGGGAGATACTCTGACTCTACACTGTTTACATCGATCTACAAACTCCTCGATCCTCAGAGCTGATTTCTATAAAGACGGATCACTCGTCAAGAATCAGACGACAGGAGAGATGAACATCACGACTGTCTCAAAGTCACATGAGGGTCTGTACTACTGTAAAACAGAGAGAGGACAGTCACTGCACAGCTGGATCTCAGTCAGAGGTGAGAGTCAGTGGAGTTCAGTCACTGTCAGCTGATTCGATTTTATTCATGAGCAATTAGTTATTGACAGATGTGTTTATTCTTTCACATAACTCACAGGAACTAAAATATAACTAGCAAAACACATATACTGGCATGTACACACCTCATCAATGTCCTATTCAATGAAATGAAGAGTGCATTAACTACAGCATTAGAATAAAATCTTGCCCAAAAGAAAATTGTCATTATTTACTCACTCTCACGTTATTTCAATCCTGTATTTTCTTCTTTGGAACACAAATAAGACTCTCTTTTCTTTTCTTTTATCCAATGAAAAGTGAAACTTTTTCTTTTCCTTCTTCCACAAAAGAAAGTCAGTCAGGTTTGAACAATATGAGTTTGAGTAAATGATGACAGAATAATAATTTAAATGGTAAATTAGCTATTTAATACAGAGCTAAGGTGGCATTGTGGTAGAATAAATATGACATGGGAGGAAAAAATATGTATTTCAATGATTTTTGTGTTTACTCACAAAATGTTGGGTTCCCCAATAAACTTTATGAAAGTCTTTAGGAGCTCCATAATGTTGCTCAATAATGTGCTTGTGTCTCTGTTTTTCAGTGTCAGGTTCAGGTCAGATTTCTGTCTTCAGCATCCTCAGTTCTCTTCTGGCAGCTTGTCCGTATCTGCTGGCGACAGTCGTGCTGCTTTTCAAATGCTACAGAGCGAGAGGTAAAACTTCTGTCTGATCTGTCTCTCTCCATCTCAGTGTCTTTTTCCACAAACTATTCACATTTACTGACAGACATGCCTTTACTCTGTCTTTTTATCTGTTATATAGATAAATATTTATCTATAAATATTATTTGATTCATAAATCAATTCCTGCAGTGGAAGTAAAACAGAAAGTGTCAAATTTAACTGAATATAAATGTTGTGTGTGTCTGTGCATATTTCACAATTACATCTACTGAAGACCAAAGCCAGTACACCGTAACAGTGGAATAATCATCTATTATTCTCCAAACCACAGAGTCACAGGATGCTGGAGTCTCAGGCTGAAGGCTGGGAAACACACTGGACACTAGTGTTGCTTTCGTCAACGAAAATTATGACTAAATATAGTCGTCAACGAACCTTTATCACGTGAAGAAACTGAGACGAGATGAGACGAAAATGCTGGTCATGTGATGATGACTATAATTAAATGTATAATGCAATATCATTGATGAATAAAAACGAGACTAAATGTGGCTTACAAAATAAAAACTATGCTAAAATGTCTCTTCATTCTCGTTGACCAAAATGAGACTAAACGAAATGTTATAACGTTATTTCGTCTCGTTATTATTATTTTGCAGTATTTCTGTTTCCTGTGTGTCGCTTCAGGGGCTGCATCAGGTCGCACTGCGCAGACGCAGGTGACGTCACTTCCTCAAGCCCCACTCGCGGCATTATTTAGAACAGTGTTTCCCAACCAGGGTGCCGTCCGTCGAGAGCAGGAGTGCCGTGTAAAAAACCCTTTTTTAATATTTTTTAATTGCTAAAATGTTCAAAAAAGCAGCTATTATATAATATCCATTTCTAATGCCGCCAATAATTAGAGATGCACAGAAATTCCGGCTGCCGAAAATGAGTTCACCGCTCAGGATTCACTTGTGTGTGTATGCGCGTGTGCGTTATCCCGCTCTATGCGTGTGTGTATTATCCATAGACTGTATGGTATTATCCCGCTCTGTGTGTGCGCTCCGCTCAGTCGCTCGCGGCCCATGTGAGTGCTCCACTCATATACCGTTCATGCTCATTGGAACAGCAAAGTCCTCTCAAAAATCGAGCTGACAGGAAACATGGATGTAGTACAGTATTGTTTCTGTCTGCAATAGCCCTACTGTGCTGTAACATGGTGTGGTATATGAGCAACTCTGGTAACGCTGCCCTCTCATTCATTGATCTGCTAACCGTTATGCTCATGTGTCCTCTGATGATAATAGCTTTCTAAGATTAAACATTTGGATAATTGGTAAAAAAAAAATATATATATATATATATATCTTAAAAGCCCTACAAAAATACACTGAGTGAGCAAAACTTTGTTTAATTACCATTATAACTATCTCACAATGTTTACATATGAATAAAAGCCTACATTAAAATCTGTCATATAAATTGGTCTCTTCATTAGAAATTAGCCTACTGATTTTTTATAATATTAAAAATATCTGTATGACATTATATTCTGCAGTTCTTCCTATATTGACTGGGTTAAATAGAATTGCATTTCTAAAAAGAGACTAAAATATAATTTTCATTGACTCAAACATTTACTTCACTGAAGCAACTTATGAGCAAAACTTTGTTTAATTACCATTATAACTATCTCACAATGTTTACATATGAATAAAAGCCAACATTAAAATCTGTCATATAAATTGGTCTCTTCATTAGAAATTAGCCTACTGATTTTTAATAATATTAAAAATATCTGTATGACATATATACACACACTGTCAGGGATAGTCCAGCCTCGTCAGGCCCAATCACCTCACACACCCGTTCACAATCACCGGAGTACTAATCAGCCGCACCTGTCACCACCTCATCAACACTAGCTCAAATACTCAGTCACTGCAGTTACACTTTGTCTGGTCTTGAGTTCACTATGCTGCTCCTTACCTGACTCACGAACCTGGACGCCGACCTGAAACCTACGTGTCTCTGTGCAATCCTCTTCAGCCCGATCCTGGAAGGAACCCATCACCACGTGAGCTAGATCCCTTCAGTTCCATAAGACTGTTGCCTTTAACCGTTTGCTCTCTGTCTCTTCCCACAGCCCCTGTTCAATAAAGAACTCTGTTAACCTTATCTCTCCGTTCTGGGTCTGCTTCTGTAGTGTGACACATACACATTTAACTTGTTCTACTATGACCGCAAATGTACATGATCTGGAGAAAATCTAGAGAACATCACATGAATTAACAGTTATAGAAATTTGATATGAGTCACTATGAAACAATAATATTAAAGGTGCAGTAGGAGATCTTGGAAAAAGCTAACTTTAGCCTGATAGCACTGAACGCGAATGTCCCACCCTCCCTGCAATCGCCGTCCAAAGCCACGCCCCCTTAATGCATGTACTTCACTGAAGCAACTTATGTTTAGCTGATTATCCAAACATAATTGTATTTGTTCTTCTCTCAATTAGCATTGTATTGTATTGCATTATGTTGTTATCAAACTAAGATCTCCAAAGAACGAAGATTTACATTATCAGCTATCAGAATTTTAGCTCTATATAAATATTTGTATCTGCACCAAATTGCATATTTTTGCTCAGTTTGGGCCTCGGAATAATTTTTTTTTTCCTCTTGGAGTTTGAGCTCCTTATTCTCACAAATATGAGTCATAAAAGTCTGATGTATTAAAAATGTGAAGAAAAAAAAAAAAACATGAAACATTTATTTGATAGATTTTATATTATAATATAAAAAAGAAAAAGGTGATTTATTCAAGTATAATCTCATAATTTTAGGCATAATGGGGTTAAATGTGCTACCGTTCACAAAATAGTATATATATATATATATATATATATATATATATATATATATATATATGCATGTACGCTCATAGACCAGAATGCCAGAGACAACATTACTACAATAGGCAACATCAGCGGTTCCCAATTCCAGCCCATGTTCCGAAGTGAAGTAAACTTCAACGGATTTCCCCTTCTCAGCAATGAACACTGTGTAGGGATCATATCGATCGGAACACAGTTCATGCACATAGCTCACTTCTAATGAGCTGGCGTGAGGACTGGATTAACCGCTGGGCTACATGTGTCATTCACCGGTGAGAAAACTTTAAAAGTACTACAATACCAGGAAGGAAGATGGGGTTGTTGATGTTTGTCTGCCATTCTCGCTCTGTCTGCACAGTGTGCGTGAACGAGCTGATGATGTATCCTATCTGCGCGAACCCGGTGCGCAGAGGTATGCAAATACATACGTTGACAGGCAGGTAGAAAAGCATATTAAAACGCTCAGACCGAGTGTTTTGATTGGACGAACATTTCTTGATCCTACGCCTTCCACAGAATATATAAATACAGACAAATACATTGAGACCACTTAACTTAATATTAATGATTACTATTGGGATGTGAAAAGACTTTCAACCAGCATAATTTGTATGTATTTCAGTCTTTAAACAACTGAAAAAGTGGAGTACCTTAAGTCTTAGTTTCTTGAAATATATTATATATTGATTAGCCCCCTTAAGTTTAACTAATTAGCTCATTATCAGGTATAATAAAGATGGAATCAAATGAAATCAGCATTTGCAGTCACTAAATTACAGCCAGATATTTAAAAGTTTGTAGAGGCGAGAATGATTCAAGAATGCATATTTATATACATACTCATTTTTGCAATAACACATAATACAACATCATAAAAAAGACCCCCTTTTCCATCAGTTGCTGCAAGGACAGAAAAGCTGTAGGCTCCAACTCCTGAGAAACATAAAAAAAAGAGAGAGGGCGAATTAAATAAGAAACATTTTACATCATGCTTTAACATGTTTAACTCTGTAATATATATTTCTGATTTAACACGTATGCACTGTTGGTGTTGTAGAGAGAGAACCAAACAGAATAATCATGTTACTGACATCTAACTCTAAACTCCAAATTTAAGTGTATAAGAGCAAAACCAACTAACTGAATGTTCTCTCTTCTTTCCTCAATTGTTTGTCAATCTAGTAACACTTTCTATGAAGCCTGTATTTATAATACATTATAAGGGTTTTCTTAAGGCATTATAATTAATGCATAAAACACTATAAAAAAACTTTAATATGTTGTATCTCAAAAATAATCAAAACATTTATAATACATTATAATACTTATGCATTTGTGGTTATTACTTTTAAGAGTATGAGTACGTATAACATACAATTAATTGAATACCATTATAAATCCACTTAATTTGTCCTGATTATGTTGATTTAATTCCAGGTGTTCCCCATTTATTTCCATTGATCCCAGGTGTGTCTTGTCATCCCCTCGTCTTGTCATGTGTTTAAATAGTGTTCCCTGTTTTTAGTTCAGCATCCGGTATTGTTTGTCTACGTGAGTTTTCCTTGTTATAATTAAAATTATCTGGATTGATGTATTCCTCGTCTCCCTCCGTTCCTTGCTCCTCACTCCACTCAGTAATGCAACCGTGACAAATACAGGTTTCATAGAAAGTGTTACTGTCAATCCTTCTATTAAAATCTTCCACTTCACTGAAATAGTTATCAGAGAAACAATCACTGTTGGGTTAACAGAAACATCAGTAACAAAAGGTGGACTGGGCATTGTGCAAAAATTATTAATATTCCTCTCTGACCTGTAATGATAATCCGGACCAGAGAGGAAGACCTGCTCAGACTCCTGCAAGGAGAAATTCTTTAGGACAGCCAGGGCATATATGATGGCCTATGGAAAAAATGGTTAATGTAAGTATACTAGTATAGCACTACTGAACAACAAGCCATTATACATTGGTCCATACACCAGCATGCAGTTTATACAGTAGATTTTGTAAGTGCAGGAGCAGGACACTCACAAACACATTACATGGTCAGGCATACCTCTGGAAAAAGAGCACCACAGATTAACTGCACTGCATCTGTGAAGCTCAGTTGTGTTGGTGTCCTATGCAGCACTCTTCTCAGACAGGTAAACAGGACAGTTGTTTCTCACTGTCGAGGTAGACAGGCACCCAGGAAGAGGTTAGCTTAGAAATTGATACATTTAAGATAAAGATACAATAATTTGCAGCAGAGTTAAAATATATTGTTAATGTTACTTCTAATTAAGGCCCTTGGTGAATCTTTACTATGAACTTGTTTGTAATGATGATTAAATGTGAACATTGTTTGAACTCTGCAGGACTGCGGCTCTCTAGGACCGAACTTGCCTACCCCTGACATAGCTTCATATATTCATTACAACCTTAACAGTGTGACTGGATTAGAATCTAATACGGTTGCTTCCATTGAAATTGTTTTGATACTATGTGTTTTTTATTACGTTTTAACAACTAAAATGTGCTTGCGCATTTCTTTTTAAAGCACATACACTTTTATAAAAAAAGACTGGATGAAGAAAATCACTTTCACAGAGAAAATGTGTGGCTCTTAAAAGTGAGGTAAGCAATTTTTCAAAAAAACACTTTAGAAAACTGATTCGGCCGAATAGCAAAACAAACTTTTAGCTGCGACAAAGTGACCGTTGAAAATCATTTGAAATTTGTGTTAATATGTCATAAATAGAACACAGCAGCAGTTTTCTGTCGGGGATGTGTCGTGTCGTGCCCCGCCACATCCAGTGTAGACCATAGATATGTACATATATATATATATATATCGATGGTGTAGACAGCATCACTGATTATAATGAGTTCCATAGTATTTTGTCGCGCCACGCCACTCGCGTCCAGTGTAGACACGGTGTAACATTGGTTTTGCTTTGTTTCACATAACTAATTGTTGCCTGGGTTGCGTACGTATGTGTTAAAATACAGAGCTATTAAAATAGGGGCGAGACCCTTTTGGGGTAGGGGCGTGGTTGTTTTGGTGATTTCAAATGTCAACATTGGCTACAAGAAATCACTTACCCCACCTTTAAAAGAGCCCTTGGTTTGAAGAGAAAATTCACTCAGTTTACTTGGTTTTGGCTGGTTTCTCGGTTTTCTTGGGCAGCAGCACGGCCTGAATGTTGGGCAGCACACTGCCCTGAGTGATGGTCACGCCACCCAGAAGCTTGTTCAGCTCCTCGTCATTGCGCACCGCCAGCTGCAGGTGACGGGGAATGATACGGGTCTTCTTGTTGTCCCAAGCGGCGTTTCCAGCCAACTCCAGGATCTCAGCAGTGAGATACTCGAGCACAGCGACCAAATACACCGGAGCACCGGCACGCTCGGCATAGTGGCCTTTGCGGAGAAGCCTGTGAACACGGCCGTCGGGGAACTGCAGTTCAGCTCTGGAGGGGCGAGTCTTGGCTTTAGAGCGAGCCTTTCCAGTTTTGCCTTTTCCACTCATTGTACTTGAAAACTGTTATTTGACCATGCAGCGTAACAATTAACTGTTCTATAGTTCTGTCAGGACCACTATCGTCAAAGATAACTTACAATTAGCATACATTTTAGGTTGGGGGTATGGTTCTGTTCTGGGCAACACTCCCTGCCCATCCATGCAGCCTAATGATTAATGTAGCAGATATCATCAATGTTCTAAGTGATTATTTTATATATCAACATAATTCAGTAGTCTGACTCAATAACTAATATCCAATGCCAAGTCCTGACTGGATGAGAGGAGGAGTTGGGGATGGAGGTAGGTGATTAGCTCTTGAGCAAAGCGATAGCTGCGGAATAATGACTGAAAGGACCTTATAAAGGGAATTATGATTGGCGTCGTATTCCTATAGGTAGACGTAGATCAGCTGAGTGTCAGCTGATGCGAGCTTGACTAGCGTGACCTGCCAGAATTAACGCTATGCTCCATTTCTGTCAGGACCACTATCGTCAGAGATAACTTAAAATTAGCATACATTTCAGGTTGGGGGTATGGTTCTGTTATGGCAACACTCCCTGCCCATCCATGCAGCCTAGCATGGATAGGAGCAGGGAGAGCATAAATAACCCCCCAAAACAAAACCATATGCTGAACGTCCTCTTTGTAACGTTGCTACTGTATGTGACCATAGAATAACCAATACAGAACGTCCTCCTAAAGTCATATCTGGAACGTAATTATATTACTAAAAGAGGACCATATGGGAACGTTCTGTTAACGTCCCAAACATCCTCTTTGTAACGTTATTATGTGACCATAGAATAACCAACACAGAACGTTATCCTAAAGTCATGTCTGGAACGTTATAATATGACTAAAAGAGGACCATATGTGAACGTTCTGTTAACATCCCAAATATCCTCTTTGTAACGTTGCTATGTGACCATAGAAAAACCAATATAGAACGTCCTCCTATAAGTCATATTGGGAACGTTATTATATATTAAAAGAGGACCAGATGGGAATGTTCTGTTAACGTCGCAAACGTCCTCTTTGTAACGTTGCTATGTGACCATAGAATAAGCCATATAGAACATCCTCCTAAAGTCATATTCGGAACGTTATTATATGTTTAAAAGAGGACCATATGGGAACTTTGTTAACGTCCCAAACGTCCTCTTTGTAACGTTGCTATGTGACCATAGAATAACCAATATAGAACGGCCTCCTAAAGTCATATCTGGAACATTATTATTTGACTAAAAGAGGACCATGTCAGAACGTTCTGTTAACGTCCCAAATGTCCTCTTTGTAACGTTGCTATGTGACCATAGAATAACCAATATAGAACGGCCTCCTAAAGTCATATCTGGAACATTATTATTTGACTAAAAGAGGACCATGTCAGAACGTTCTGTTAACGTCCCAAATGTCCTCTTTGTAACGTTCTTATATGACCAAAAAATAACCAAAATGGAACGTCCTCCTAAAGTCATATCTGGAACATTATTATATGACTAAAAGAGGACCATGTCAGAACGTTCTGTTAACGTCCCAAATATCCTCTTTGTAACATTCTTATGTGACCAAAATATAACCAGAATGGAACGTCCCCCTTAAGTCATGTAAGGAACATTGAGCACCAGCACTTTCATAACCAAAAGAGGACGTTTTAGGAACGTCCTTAATGTTCTGTAAAGGTTCGGGACTTTTGTCACCTTTAGAGAACTTTCTTAGGAGTCGCTGGTTACTTAGCTTTTTTGGGGCTCTTCGTTGCCTTCTTAGCAGCGGGTTTCTTGGCCTTCTTCTGAGATTTTTTAGCAGCGGGCTTCTTCGCTGCTGCGGTTTTGGGCTTCTTAGCGGCAGCAGGTTTCTTGGCTGCGGGCTTCTTGGCTTTAGGAGCGGCTTTCTTGGCAGGTTTGGTCATGGTCTCTGCTTGTTTCTTGTTGAGTTTGAACGAGCTGGAGGCACCGGTTCCTTTGGTCTGGACCAGGGTGCCTTTAGTCACCAGAGTCTTGACGGCGATCTTGACGCGGGAGTTGTTCTTCTCCACATCGTAGCCACCGGCATCGAACGATTTCTTCAGGGCGGCGAGGGACACACCACTCCTCTCTTTAGACGCGGACACAGCCTTGACGATGAGCTCGCCGATGCTTGCCCGTTCTCTTGCATTTTGTAGTGATGGGTCGTTCTTGAACGATTTGTTCATTTTATCCTTTAATGTGATTCGGGAAGAACGAGTCGTTTCAGGGAGTGATTCGTTCAGTCGCGCATGCGCAACATTCTATGGGCTCTGTACTGGAATTAGTTCACCTGTTACGAGTCTTTGGGTTTGAGTCGTTCGTTCATCACGTGACAGCCCCATACGCTTAAACAATGCAGTCTGAGCCGGAAAGAGAATTGATTAGTTCATTTCTCGAGTCTTTCGAGCCGTTCGTTCTTTTGTCACCTGACATGACAGCATTGGCTAGAGAAATTAGTTAATTTACAACCTTCCTTACAAACGGGCGCATAGTAATTATTATTATTATTTACTCTTACAGTTACATGATGCGTTTCTGGTCTCAAATTGTTGCTTTTAATTTCTGTCATGATGGTTATTTTCCATAACACTGAATGTGGTAATAAAGGTAATAAAGCGTTGGCTATACTTTAAATTTTGTCCATATGATGGCGAAATCTCTTTGATGAAGATAAACTTGTTTTTGTTTTTTACAGTGGATTCTAATCTTCATGAAATACAATACCTTGTTGTATGTCTTTTGACTTAACCCTTCAGATTAGACTATATAACTGTAGTGTTACTTATTTAGGATTCATGAAACACTCGCAGTCACTCACTATATGTAGTCCATAATAAATTACCTTCAATGTTTACAAGTTGTGTTTAACTCACGAGTCACATGTACTTACCAATGTAACTAAATAACTTTTATACTTGATAATTTAACTGTGCAGTTATTTAATAAATCAGATTGTCTGTGTAAACTATACATTTGTAACATATTACACTTTAAACATTAGAAACACTGTGTACACACTCTTGAATGGTTGTTTGTTTATTTTTGTGCCAGAAAAGCTTTATAGCAAAGAGGATACCTATTCCCAAATAAATTTAAACAATTTAAATAAAACAAAATAAAAAATTAAAAGATACTAAAGCCTCAGAGCCTAATAACCTTAACAAATTAACTTTATAATCAGAATAAATAAATAAATATATATAATTGCACAACAAGCTAAACTTTAAAAAAAAAAAGCTTTAAAATGAATAAAACAGTGTGGCTGTATTTTTAAGACTTGCTTTAAGGCATGTTTGCATAAAAAAACAAGCTCCCAGACCTTGCATGGGCCGAGTCTGTTTCTTCTCTCTGAGATAATCTGCCCAGTTCTAGAAAAAAATATTTCAGCTGGCACAGATGTGGCCACAATGCAAAGTCTTGTCTTCGTGACCTCAGAAAGGGTTTTGTTTACTGGTGAACATCTCCTCCACCAGGCCAGAGGGTCTGATGTGTGGGGTAAGAGTGGCTCTGCACGGTAGGCCTGCATCTCCATCATAGCATCTGACGTATTAGAAGTGGTAGCAGAAGGCCTCAAGCTTGCTACCCTCTCATCGAAGTCTTCCCAAAACATGGCCCCTGCACTGGCAGTCGCACCAGGATCTGAAGTATTCTCCTCCTCACTCTGAGCTGGATTAATAGCTGCTGCAGCTGCTGTAACTCTATTTAATGTCTCTTCTGCTGCCTGGTGATTGACAAAAGCTTGCTTTTTTTAACCTTGGGTCCAGGCAAGCAGCATCAGCAAGCTTCTCAATGTGTTCCACTTTGCCAAACCTCCTAGTAATTTCTGGCATCAGGGAATCCACTAGTTTTTTTAACAGGGTCAAAGCTGGAGGGATTTCTTTGATATCGGGCAACAATCCTCTGAAGACCTCTTGCCATCAAAATTACTTTGGATGCAGTCACAAACCTATGAAGATTACAAATAGTTTATAAATGAATTATAACAAAACCAAAATCAGTACTGCATATACTTCCCTGTTAAAATAAGGCAACAGAAAAAACATGCATCATTAAGAGACAGAGTTTAAAATGTGGTTTTAAAATGAATAATAAATAAACATTTTGAACTACTTACTTTTCTGCACCCACTTCAGTGGTGTCCTCCTCAAATGGCTTAATAATGTCCTAAATTTATCTGGAAATGTTCCATTCCTCTGGCAACAAGGTTGGCAGAGATGCATTAGTTAGTGCCAGGGTGGAGATGATTGGATCTGTGATTTCAGTAAATCTTTTCAACATGTAATATGTTGAATTCCACCTTGTGGCCACATCCTGTTTTAACTGCAACAGCTCTTGACCAATCTGTTTTTGTGTGGCCTTGAGCTTGTCTGAAGCAACTGTACTTCTATGGAAGTATTCAACTATTGTCTTGACCTTTTGCAATATTGCTTGGACCTCCTTCAATGCAGCTCTGACAATGAGGTTCAGCATATTGGCGAAACAAGGTATGTGGTACTAGTGGAGATTGTCTTTCAGGGCTGAAACAATGTTGCTGGCATTGTCTGTGACACAAGCTACAATTTTGTCACCCACACCTCATTCATTTGTAACCATGGTCAGCTCACTTGCCAGGTAAGCAGCAGTGTGTCTATCTGTCAAAACAAAGCAGTCCAGGAGATAGGAGGTCATCTGAAAGTCCTCTATGAAATGACATGTCACATTCATGTAACATGTTGTAGTCAAAGAGATCCAGCAGTCTGTTGTGAGACAAACAGCAAAGGCACTCTTGATTTTGTCCATTATATCATCTCTTAACTTATCATACAGCCTAGGCATTACAGTTTTTGATAGTGTTTTTCTGCTAGGTAGACTGTATCATGGGTCCAGAAGATGTGAATACTCCTTAAAGTCCATGTCCTCCACTATAGAAAATAGCTGAAAGTCACAAGCAATCATTCTCACCAGAGCCTCATCAAGTTTGCGTTGTCTTAATGGATCCATTGGTCTTGCTACAAAACTGCT